ATGTCCCGATAGTCGAATAATTGAAACATTACAAATTTCCTCCTTAAATCGATCTTTGAGTCGCTTAATATTTTCGGAAATGTGCATGTTTCTTTCTATTTCTACTTTTCGAACTGCTTGGACAATTTAATCGTACAATTTATTCGAATTTTTTGTCCGAGTCCTAGTCTCGTAGTCTCGAATTCGATTCGTCGCAATCGTCATTTGACTCCCGTTGCGACAATTCGGTCTTCTTTCGCCACGGGATATCGTCATGGTGATTTTCTCGGGAATCATTTTCTCTCTCGAGAGAGAGCAATCATGAGTCGAACTCGCGCGAAAAAGATATAATGTACTCGACGACGTTCCCGCAGGATTCGAAATGCTTTTCTTTCACTGGTTATAGTTAATCCTTTGCGGTCCTATATCCTATATCGAGTCTGACTCGACATCGTATTTCGTTTCAGCCGCTCCTATGGTCCAATCTAGCTCGATAGGAATTTGTAACTATTTATAAATATTCTAGCGATCCCGAAAATGTTTCTCGAAGTATTATGGCTGCATAAATCTTTGCGGAAGCTCGTTTCCTTCTATGCATGTTACATAATTTGTGAGATTACTGAAATATACGATTGAAGCAAAGGGTTAAAGAGACGAATTTCTCGTTTTAGAAATTTTTATTCCAATTATTTTTTTAATCTCTATTCTATTTTTATCTTCCAATCAAACAATCGCGAACTTATTCGCGTTAGTAAATCGACATATCGACATATGCGTTTGCGAAATTATTGAATGTAACGCGTCAGTTTTATACTTCTTACGCGATTTTAATTTCATGAATCTATAATTGTATAATCTGACTTCTCGATCTCATTAATAATATCAATATTATCGCGTGTGTAATTATTAGCTGCGACTAAATGCATAATCGTTTGAAATCTCAGAGAAATTCGCAAAGATGAGAGATTGATGGTAAATCCATTCCTCTCGTTTCGCAAGATGAACCACTTCCTTTTGTATTATTCGAAATTTGTTATAGCTTTCTCGTTGTAAACGGCGCGCATATCAAGCGGTCCATGTGTGACTCACACATTGACCAAACGTTTCTTAATATTATAATTATACCGAGAAACACATTTAATTGAGGCGCGGTTTTTTGCACGCGCATTCATCGCATCGCGCGGACTATGACGGTTATATGCGCATTACGAATGACGAATGACGGATGACGGCGCGGCGCGTCCGCAGAGTTCGGATTCGCTTCTGATTTAGCGCGCCGCCCCCACCGCGCCGCGCCGTTTCTCTTTTTCGCCGTGGCCGCGTCTAATCTGGTTCTCCTTGCGAATACCTCCCCGTTTTTCTCCATCTCCGGGCATCGAGAACCTGGGTTAATTCTTGGCACAATGATCGTAAAACATATCCAAGGATAGAAAACAATGGTAATCTCAGAGTTGTCGGCACGACAACACACGGTGATTCCGCTGCGTGGAATTTCTCCGTTTCGGAATTCGCGTTTCTCTTTTTCCAACAAACAGGTTTAAATATATTTGTTTCACCTCTATCATGAATAAAATTACTAACGACGCTTTCTTTTCATTCTCTGGTATTAAATTAGAACGTAATTTTTTTATAAATCACAATTTTCTCTCTCTCTCTCTCTCTCTCTCTCTCTCAATTTTTTATAGAATGATATAATACATATAGCTGAGGGGGGAGAATTATTACATTATTTATGTTAGATAATAATGGGTATTATTATATTATTTATTTTATCAAATGCACATATAAAGGATTACAAATATTTTATCGAAATAACATACTAAATTTTTCTATCGCTTTGATTATAAATGAATTATACATATAACATTTTTCGATACAAAATCAAAAACGTTGAAACGCTCGATTCTATATCGCACGCGGCTACAATCTCCGCCAGTTTAATGTGAAAATGAAATTTATCCGAATGACGCCCATCTCTGTGAATCGTCATATAATTTCTCTTTGCCACGATTACTTTTTTTCTTCTCTCGAAAATCGCTGGACCGGTCCCGCGGGTCATCCTTGTCCATAGAGAACGTACGGACCGCAACGACAACGACTACGACGACGACGACGACCACGATCACGACGACGACCACGACGACCACGACGACCACGACGACCACGACGACCACGACGACAATGACAACGATGACCCGGGTACGCGAGCCTCCAGGGTTTCGCCGCGGTGGGATCAGGTTTTTCTCACCGTCGCGACGCGTCTCTCCGCCTCCGGACCACGTTCGCGTTCCCGGCCGACAAAAACGAGCCACCCCGTGCCAAAAAAGTCGTTATGTAAATGCGCCGCGGAAGCCCGGCCTAGACCGCGCCGCTGTTCTGTTGGTCACAGGTACATACATATATACAGAATGAATCGTGCAATTCGATCACCCTGTGACGATTTTCAGTTTGAAAAAAAAATAGTAAAGGTGCCCGTGAAAAAACTTGCAGAAGAAAAATAGGAGCGATCGAATCAATTTCCCGAAAGATACAACTCAATTTTGCGCACAATTTTTTATGCTGGATTTATCGCGAATTTTAGGAGGGGGGGGGGAGGCTACACTTCCAGCAATTGTAAAATTAATCGATGCGAATGATTAGACTAATGGTAATTTAAAAATTGTAAATAGGTGAAATTTGTTGTACAATTTTATACAATAATGTTTGATTGTGAGAGAATCTGACTAAAACTTGATTCGGTTGTGGAATGGTATAGCTTTCAAACTTATTCCATCTCCAATTCTGAAATTAGGTCGAGTAAATAAATGCGGGATGAATTATTAATAAATTCAGCTAATGCGGCGTAAAGTTGACGATGAGCGGACGATTGCGCTTGTGGTTTTATTTTTTAACAAAAGCTCGATCGAAGTATCGTCGCGCGGATGACAGGCTTAGTTAGATGATCAACAACGTGTATATCACATACGCGCGGTATTAATAAAGTCATGAAAACGAGAATAAGATGTCAGCGACGGCGATATAAATAAATGGCGGGCAATAATAATGGAGCGCAAAGCGGGAATCGACGCAAGAACCACATGAGGAAAATTCGCGCATCTCGTGTTTACGGGAACTTTTCGGACAAAATAATCGAACCGGCGAAAATGAGAGATTTGTGATATCTGAACAAGGAAAGAAAGTGACGAATAATCCTGAAACTTTTTTTTTTTTTCTTTTTAATTATTGTACCCAGGTGCAAACGCAAGCAATACGCACACGCGCGAGGAGTAATAAGATAATATTGTATTTTAATAAGGAATATCCCAAAATGAGTTTTTTGGAGAGTTACAAGTTTTTCGATCAATATCTTTTTAGCGAAAATGTCAATGTAGCAATAATATTTAAGTTTTTAGCGATTGTGAAAATGAAAGATTTCGCGCGAATTAAGCTTCACGGAGATTTATCTGTGATTAAAAAGGTAATAAAATTATATTTTTCATTTAATTTCAACTAGACTTTAACAGAATTTTAATTTCAAACTCAACCAAATATAATCCGTAGGTTAAAAGAAATGATTAATTAAAAATATTCCGTCGAGAGATAAATAAAATTAATAATACGTATGTCAATTATATTTCTTTCGTAAATATTCCTGTTGCGGAACGCATGGCTCAATCGCACCTGGACGATCTCTTTCTTCATTCAGCCTGCTATCGCTCGGCTGAACCGATTTTGCTGACCCAAGACACGGTGCTTCCACGTAGATCCTTTTTTCGCGGGTCGCAGTTCGCGCTAGAAAAATCTCGCGGAACAAGTCGCCACCCCGTCGCCGTCGTCGGGCACTTCGTCGCGGACCCGAGAGACCGCGCGCACGAGCGTGAGACCGGGATCCGGGCTCGTAATAAGACCCGCCGGCCAGCTTTTTTTTTACCTTTCTCTCTCTCCCTCCTTCCGTTTCCCTTCCCCTTCCTCCAGCCTCTTTCTTCGGCTTTACCCTGCGGTCTTCTCTTTCTATCTCTCTCTATCTCCCTTCTCTCCAATGGCGCGGTACCGGTATTAATTTATACGCGGTACGTGTGTGCACGCCGCTTTTTCTCGCAGTTCCTCGAAATTTGCAAGAAACTAGTCGGACACTTTGGCGTCTCCTCTCTTGGACTGGCATGATCTTGTCGATACGGCGGCAACGACAACCACGACGACGATAATGACTGTGTGGCGGACGGTTGAAAAAGCGAGGGTGGTTGTGGCAAAGATGGTGCTTGCGATTATCAACGGCGTACATTTAAATTGATTTAATTTTTTCCCTAATTAATCTTTATTCATCCAAAAGTGTGTTCTCCTATTATAATGTAAAGATATAATAAAAAAAGAGAGAGTATGTGTGCGTATAATAAAAGATTAATACAAATAGAGATGTATATTCTAGTAAAAAAAATATACATCTTATTTCGATCGTTTTTTTGAAAAGGGAAAAAGATTAAATCACAAAAAGAGAAATCTAATGTTTAACTTTGGTTGATAAATGTCGGCAGAATCGAGATGCAATATTCTCCGATGAAATGATTGTAATCGCTTTTTTGACCACGATATTTCTCAATACGTATATACACATTTTTCTTTTTAGAAAAATTACTATTTTTTTATGAATTTTCCATAAAATTAATAACAAAAATTATTAAAAAATATATCCGAACAATAATATACATATATATAATGATAACGATATAAAATATATTTCTATATGTCGAATTATAAGTTAATTTAATCCATCCGTATTCGTATCGCCCTTCGAGGACCGGTTCGACTTATGGCTTTTATATTAACCAGACTGTCTAATTACGACATAATTAATCGTTGACCGTGAGCGAAGAGGAGGAGAAGCAAAGGGGGGGGGGAGGGGGAGATACAATCCACACAGCGATTATTACCGCTGTCGGCGCAAAACTGTACCGATCCGGTCGGAACCGGCAATTCCGCTGTTAATTGTGGATACTCTCTTAATGAACCTCTTTAACGATCGTACAATACTATGCGATTTGCAGTGGTGCAGACGTCCGTGCCGCAGAATGAGGCCGAGTTGCAGTTATACAGAGTGATGCAGCGCGCCTCGTTATTGGGATATTACGACACACTTCTCGAAATGGGTAAGTGCACGACCAAGAGCACGTCTACGTCTACGTTTCGTATAATTTAGAAGGTATTTTAGTGTATAGTTATCCACAAAACGTGCACTTCTAAATCTCTAAATGCAGTTTTAGATCTAGATTTGTGTGTAATCTTTGCGAGATACATCGCTTCCATGTAATCTTATGAAGATTATAAAAATAAAAAGATGATATCGAGAGCAATCAGCGATTACAGCACAGAACAATAATAATTCAAACGTTTATACTCTATTAACACGATATATTATATATAGATATATATATGTATATATATTGGATGATTGCATAAGTTCGTGCCCGATTTTCATAGATGGCATTAAGTTACTGCATGGCGGAGTTCTATTGTTTTCGTGTGGTAATTGTTGCTTACACCGAATTATACTCTATTAACACGATATATTATATATAGATATATATATATGTATATATAATTTGGCTCTCTATGTCTGATATATTTATTCGCTGCACGTAAAGATGTATTTTTATTATAATGTTATAAATATGTCTATCGATCTATAAATAAATATTATATAATATGTATAATTGATTTTTGAGAGAGAACTTTTAAAATTGTCCGACGCAGTTTGTGCCATTTTTAAAGTTAAGATATTTTTCAAGACATTCTTTTGCCATATTTTTTATTCTCTTTTTTTTTTATCGCGAATTTAAATGACAATTTGTTACAATGCTCATGGTTTTACCAATACGGCATAATGTATTATAGGAGGCGATGACGTGCAACAATTGTGCGATGCAGGCGAAGAGGAGTTTCTGGAGATTATGGCGCTGGTCGGCATGGCGAGCAAGCCGCTTCACGTCAGGAGGCTCCAGAAAGCTCTTCAGGAATGGCTCACTAATCCTTGTAAAGTATTATATGCTACGCAAGTTTCGAGTTTTATGAGTTTAGAGTATTGTCGCGTAAATATTAAATTTCGTCATAAAACTTGAAGCTGAAAAATTTGGTACCAAAAAATGAAAGAAATCCATTTAAAGAATAATACGTTATATCAATTATACGTAATATCAATTATAGATTATCTAATTCATGACAATGACTTACTACGCGGGTTGAAAACATGCTTGCGATGATCTATTTTTTTAAATTAATAAACAGATCAATGTGCTATATATTCATATATTAGTTGAGAAATACGTTAACAATATAAGCTCTATAATGAACAATAAAATCTATTTTTTTCTTCATTGAATAAGAGATGTTGTATCGATTTTTCCGAGGCACATCTCTTCAAATTTTATAACTTTGCGTATATTATACGTAAGAATCTCGCGTGTAACGAAATTCGACATTTCGCAGCATTGTTTCAAACGCCGGTCGTGCCGACGAATGCTGCCGCCAAAAGTTCTGTCGCCGTCACCGTGGGTTTCGCGTGTGCGAGTCCGCGGTCGCAGATGCAGAGCCTCCCGACAAGTTTCAGCGCGACATCCCAAACTTCCTTGACATCAATGCCCTATGTAACGACAACGCCTCACGTGCCGCTGACGCCGTTGCCTTGCCGGAGCGCCAGTCCGGTCGTGCCGGTCACCAGTGTGCCCGTACCGACGTCCTCTACGACCTTTCGCCAGAGCCCGAGCCCAAATACCTCTTTACCTTATACGACTACGCACAGTCCAAATGTGTTGCAGGTAGCTAAAGATCATTTTTTAATCAATTGGAATGCAATTGGAAGGAAACGAATCATCATTGATCGATCGACATCGATGGCGAATACTGACTGATCTAACGAGAAATTCAGTCATGTGCATTCAATTTCCTATATTCGATTATTGAAAATGATGCGGAAAATTGAGTAATTAGTGCATCCAATCGAATTCATTATAATCGTTTTAAACCTCTTTGCGAATCAAATATCACAAATTATATTAAATAAACTTTAGCTAATTTCAAATGTGTGCACGATCAATGTTGAAGTAATGAATGAAGTAATATTGGAACAAAAGGGGAAACTTTACAACCTTTATTTCAAAAAAGTAATGTTTTCAAAGAAATTGATTTATCTCCAAGGTCTCTTTAAACATTTATTTTATAGTCGAGTTTTATAATAACGTATATACAATACTAATGCAAATAAGTAATTTGTAATTATATTTTTTTCAATGAATTTGTTTCTTATTCCTGCCAGTCTGATATTTATTTGCCTACATTTTGTATGTTTTATGTTGCGTCAAGGTAGGAACGTGCGAATCTTCTTGCGGTAGCGGCACGACGCCAAGCCCGAGTGGCGGCGGTGGCGGCGGCGGCGGCGGCGGCGGCGGCGGCGGCGGTGGAGGCGGCGAGTCTCTAGTGTGATACAGGCTTTATGGCTGCGGTCGAGAAGACGCTAGAAATACTACGAAGCGTTTGATTGACCAATCAGGACACAAAGAATAAAGATCTTTTTATTCTGATTGGTTAATACAATGCTTTGAAGCATTTCTAGTGTCTTCCTGACCGCAGCCTATGAGTCATAAGTCACGTGATTTGGGTGAGTACGAACAACGAACGGAGAACGAAAGTAGAACGAAAAACGAAAGGCGATCAATGGTCAACGGTACGGCATTCGTGTGTCGTAATGTTGTGAGATAAAGGTATGAAATAGAATCAGACAGATTTTTATCGATTCTTACGTATGACCGCCAAACGAAAACACCGCGGCTGAAAAATAGTTAAATAAAGCATTGTGCAATGCGAATAGATTACTTTGTGACATATCGTCATCCTAATCTAACCTGTACGGAAAGGATCTAAACATAGCTCTCCATTGAAGCATCAGCTTCTAAAAGTTGCGATACTTGGATCAATTGTCTCTGATTCAATTTATCTCTGATCAGCGAGAATCTTTACATTTGTAAAAGAAGAGGTTAGTATCCAATTTGTGTCGATGTAAGTATGCGATGCAAAGCGATTTATTATAAAACATAATAAACCACTTACAACGGGATTATAGGATATTGTTGTCTTACAGATAAAATATTCAGGAAAGATATTGGGTTTGTTTTTTATAACTGAACTGGCTGCACTAGTTCAGAGTTTATTTTTTTCTCTCCACATTAGAAGGAGAAAGATAAGCTCTAAACTAGTGCAGCCAGTTCAGCTATAAAGAACAGACCCATTGTGCCATGGTTAATTAAATATTAAGCTGTAGTATTTTAAAACATTGACTAAGTGAAATCATGGATAATAGTTTTTTATGTTCTTTTTTTTTTCCTCTGCAATTCTATTAAAAATGCAATTATTTTAGTACATACATTCAGTCGTGGTTTCTATTGTGGCTTTGCAGTTTTGGTTGCATGTGTTTGCACTAAATTTATATGCTTAAATAAATACATAGATATGTAATAGATGAATTCAAAGTTAGAAAACGCATGGAATTTTTCATGAAAAAGTAAGGTAGGTCCTTTTTATATCTATTACGTGTTACCTGTTAGATTCTATGAAATATTCAATCGATGATTATCAGGGTTGGTTCATTCGATACGACTTGCTTGGATTTTATGCTCTATGCCTAGTATCCTTCCAAGTCGTGTTTATCTACCTATTTAATCTATTTATATCTACTCACTTATCTACTTACGTTACTCCATATTTATCCGCGTTTCCACTCCTCTATTATTTTCCTTCCTTCTTTTATGGATGCAGTTTACTATTTCTACTGTCTGTAGCAGTTCACCGTTTCAGGAGGAATTGGACCTTCGTTGTTCCGGAACGGATATTGATAATTCCATCACGAGAAGACATAGATCATCGAGGTGATTATTTTTAGCTCAGGCCTGATCATACTTTTTCTCAATGTTTTTTCTATATTAAAAATAATTTAATAATAAAATATAATACAATCAATAATTTTTAATAGTAAGAATCAAAGCTAGATTTAAAAGTATTGAGAAGAAATCTTGTCAAGATATCTTGTGTGTGTTGAGAAATTATTATACCTCTGAGAGAGATGTCTCATACATATATATATATATATTTACATCTCTTTCCCGGTTATATTACATTTTCCAATTCAGTTTGTATATGATAACTATGTATTGATGTTCAGATATTGGTAATGTTTCAGTCCAGTCTGGAGGAAGAAGAATAACAATGGCATATTCAGTGCTAGCGTGGAGGAAATCAGCGATTCGGACAGCCAATTCTCATTCTCTAACGAGGAATCTTCGTCTATGCATGTAAATATAATACTAACGAAACTTTCTATCTATATCGTAAATTTTCACGTGCCGAAGATTTCTGGGTTAACTAGAAATGTAATGCGTATGTGCGTGTTTTTTAGGATACAAATGAGGCGGAGGCTGAAAACACCGATAAAGAAGGCGACTTTAATCTAAAGGTGAGCAGACGACCAAAAAATCTCGTTTTTTTCTTCATCTTTTATAGTTTGTTATTCTCTCTTAGAAAAACTGTTTGCAAAAAAGGACAAAAGAAAAAAACGCTAAATGCATCGAACAAGTTTTTTATCTGCTGCTTTTTTTCTTATTACCCTTGAATAATGATGCATGATGAAAAAAAGTTCACCATATGCTCATTTAAAATAATAAGAGAGATTAACGATAAACATCGGCATCTCATTTATTGTAGTTATTGATTGCGAGTAAATTATGCGTAGGTAATAGCCTCGCGCGGAGACAACATAATTGCCGTGGCGAATCCTGCATTAATGGAATGCAGTCATCCTGTAAAAGAGGAGCCCGCGGATGAGAAATCCACACTGTGATATTACTTAGCGTTATTTACTGCCGCACTATCGACGATACGATGGCTGATCCTGCTGGTCATTGTTCACGTTATCACGATCATCACTTACGCCGATTCTATATCTCATACGTTATCAAATAACGATAGCATTTGTGACGTTTGCTGTAATCATAAGACTTATTCGCTAGTATTTTCGCACTATGTGATCGCGATCTTTTTCAACGTGATTCTTTATGTTTGTTCGAATGATGTGAGAAATATTTATGATACTGCCTGTGTTATCTGATTCTAGCGAAATACAAACACACACGATATTGTATAGCGATTACGAGTGTTTATAGAGAGAAAGAACGAGAGAGAAAAGGCGATAGGAAATAAAAATAAACCGTTTAAATCAAAAGAGCGACTGAAGTATGTAGTATTATAAAATGTATGTCGTAAGAGTAAATATGTAAATATGTATATATATATATATATATATATATATATACGTAAAATATCTCGGCAGCAAATTATCAATGACATGGTATTGTTAACATATGTATAATAACATAGGTATTCAGCCTTGGCGGCGTAAACATTGGCGCGCTATTGTTTACGACTTACGGCCTTATCATTCGCACGGCGACGTTCGAACAGTAATGTTATAGTACGAGACGCTCCGTGAAAATCTTTTTCTAAACGCGATCGTGTCGCGGACGGCTTTCGCGTCTTTCGCGTCGCGTATCAGTACAGCATTGCCACGAGTCGCACAATGGCTCATATGTGGCACACG